GAATGACTATGATTTTTTGCTGAAAACTGGACTGGACATTTGAATCTAATAATGTGGTAACTATGACAACAAGATTCTCCCCCTTCCTCGCAGTTTGCTGTTTTTTGTAATTGTTTATTCATTTTTGTTGTTGTAGGCTGTCTCTGTCTCAAAGAGCAGTCTAAAGTATACACTTAAGGGCTTCTCAGGGAACGGGGGTTACTTTCTAATTTCCCCCCATAGATACGGTTGCCCGTGCCTTTCCCTGGGAACGGGGGTTACTTTCTAATTTCCCCCCATAGATACGGTTGCTTCTGAATGTCTTAGTCTTCAATGTCTGTGTCTGAAAAGGGTGAAAAGAGAAAAATGAAGTGAGGAAAAGGGCACCGACCCTTTGCATTTCCTGGAAGTCACTTCAACTGGAAGGGAGCATGGCTTACCAAACAAAAAAAAACATACACACACACACACACACACACACACACAAACACACACGGGGCAAGGGCTTGCAACAATGTGGGGAGGTCCAACAGCCCCTCTTTGTACCTTTGTTTTCAGAAGCAGCCATTAGTGATCAGAGCACAATTCCCATATTGTGGAGGACAGGGTCCTTTTTGTCTACCCTGGCTCCAGCAAGCTGCATGCAAGCCGCTCCTGGGGCTGGAAATGGAAGACAAATAGCTGATACTGTGCTAAAAGTTTAACTTGACCAAGATTAAATGCAATTTGTCATCCAAACCTTCCCCTGGATGATGCAAGACTCCAGAGTTCCAAAACAGTATGACAGACTCTGCCAGTGCAATTGTCGTCTAGGTTTGAAGGCAGATTCCTGGTGCTTCCCACTCCACCATCTTCCCCTAATCTGATCTTTAGTCCATCCAGTGAATTTTTCACTTTGGGTATTATTGTTCTTATGTTTTTTGTAGATACAGGGTTTTGCCATAATGCTATGTTGCCCAGGCTGGTCTTGAACTGGGTTCAAAGCAGTCCTGCGTCGGCCTCGCAAAGTGCTGGGCTCAGAAAAGAACTGAGAAGACCTAAGTTTATACCTTCGGCTGATATCTGGCCCAGAGACAGCCTACAACAACAACAAAAACAATTACAAAAAACAACAAACTCTGAGGAAGGGGGAGAATCTTCTTTTCTTTTGAGACAGAGTCTTGCTCTGGTGGCCCGATCCCATCTCACTGCAACCTCCTCCTCTGGATTCAAGTGGTTCTCCTGCCTCAGACTCCTAAGTCGCTGGGATTACAGGTGTAAGCTTATTTTTTATTTTTTATTTTCTTGAGATGGAGTCTCGCTCTGCCGCTCAGGCTACAGTGCAGTGGCGTGATCTCAGCTCACTGCAACTCCGCCTCCCAGGTTCAAGCGATTCTCCTGCCTCAGCCTCCTGAGTAGATGGAATTACAGGTGCCTACCATCATGCTTGGCTAATTTTTGCATTTTTAGTAGAGATGGGGTTTCACCAGATTGGTCAGGCTAGCCTCGAACTCCTGACCTTGTGATCTGCCTGCCTCAGCCTCCCAAAGTGCTGGGATTACAGGTATGAGCCACTGCGCCCAGCCAAGAACCCTATTTTCATAGTTACCACATTATTAGATTCAAATGTCCAGTTTTCAGTGAGCCCCTGCACCTGGCCAGGTATTGCATTTTTCATGTTTAGATGTTTGGCTGGGTGTGGTTTATGGCATTTGCACTGTCTTCGCGGGATCTCCCTTCACCATCTTCCTTTTCCTTTGCCTCTCCCCTACATTTTACCTCCTGCTTTCTTTTTTTTTTTTTTGAGACGGAGTTTTGCTCTGTTGCCCATGCTGGAGTGCTGTGGTGCCATCTCGGCTCACTGCAACCTCTGCCTCCTGGGTTCCAGTGATTCTCATGCCTCCACCTCCCAAGTAGCTGGGATTACAGGCATGCACCACCATGCCCGGCTAATTTTGTATTTTTAGTAGAGATGGGGGGTTTTACCATGTTGGCCAGGCTGGTCTCGAACTCCTGATCTCAGGTGATCTCCTGCCTCAGCCTCCCAAAAGTGCTGGGATTATAGGTGTGAGCCACTGCACCTGGTCGGGATCTGCTGCTTTCTGTAATCACATCTTTCTCTTTTTTGATTATGTTTTCATTTTGGAAGAACATGTTCTCCAGTAGCTTCTTGGAAAAGGATGCGTGGGAGGTAATGTTGTTGATTACCTATGTCTACAAACGTGTTTGTAACTCTCCAGTCTCCTTGCTGTCTCCAGCTCTTTCCTGCACCTCCCAGCCTTTTCACAGGCCACTCCCCTGCCTGAAGACTTCCTCCAGGTACCCATTCTGTTTGTTTCCTCCCCTCATCCTGTTCAAATGTCACCTCTGAGACTTTTGCTTACCACTTTGAGCAAAAGAGCCCCTTATCCCTACCTCCTACCCTTCTACTTTTCCTCAGGGCACCCAGCACTCCTAACATGGCATTTGAGACAGGATCTTGCTCTGTCATTGCCCAGGCTGCAGTGCAGTGGCATGATGACAGCTCACTGCAGCCTTGACTTCCCTGCTCAAGCAATCCTCCTGTGCCAGCCTCTTGAGTAGCTGGGACTACAGGCACAAGTCACCATGCCCAGCTAATTTTAAAATATTTTGTAGGCCGGGTGTAGTGGCTCACGCCTGTAATCCAAGCACTTTGGAGGCCAAGGCAGACGATCACCTGAGGTTGGGAGTTCAAGACCAGCCTGACCAACATGGTGAAACCTCATCTCAATAAAAAAATTTTTTTTGTAGTGGTGTCTCACTGTGTTGCCTAGGCTGGTCTCAAACTCCTGGGCTTAAGTGATCCTCCTACCTTGGTCTCCCAAAGTGCTGGGATTACAAGCATGAGCCCCACCATGCCTGGCCTGTATTTTTATCTACTTGTTTATGGTCTGACTCGGCCAGTAGGTCTGTGTCCAGGTAGTTGATGTGATAAATGAGTCCAGGAAAGAGGAATAAGGGAAGGGGTGTGAACCATGGAGGAGGAGCCAATTCAAGGATGTGTTACTGAGTCAAACACCTCCCAGGCTCTTCTGAGGAGACTAAAAATGGCAGCTCAAGGCTGGGTGTGGTGGCTCACACCTATAATCCCAGCACTTCCGGAGGCTGAGGCTGGTGGATCACCTGAGGTCAGGGAGTTCAAGACCAGGTTGGCCAACATGGTGAAACCCCATCTCTACTAAAAACACAAAAAACTACCTGGGCTTAGTGGCACATGCCTGTAATCCCAGCTACCCGGGAGGCTATGGCAGAATTGCTTGAACCCAGGAGGCAGAGGTTGCAGTGAGCTGACATTGTGCCACTGCACTCCAGCCTTGGCAACAAGAGCAAAACTCTGTCTCAAAAGAAAAAGAATGGCAGCTCAGAACTGCCAGAAGAAAGAGAAAAGCCTGTATGGCTCATCCACTAGCTCCTTTGGCAAAGGTGGCCCCAACAGGTGCTTAACTCTCCTGCACTCTGGGTTGCACGTGTCAGAGAATCTCTGGGACAGGAAGCAAGAGGTTCAGGCCTGAGGTGAGACTGCTAGGGTTGTGTCTGTGCAAAGCTAGTTGAAGCCTGTGTGTAAGCGGCCACCGTGGCACCCTTGGTCCAAGGTGTTAGTAGCTGGCTGGAGTAAGAAGTGCGGCTGAGACTACGATACAGGGCCCCTGTGTGGATGTCTCCTTCAATGCTCTTTCCAATCACTTAGAAGAGTAGTCAGGACACAGTGAGCATTCAGTAAATATTTACTGAATGCTGTTGCAGTCTAGTAGGGGGAAAGGCAAGTAGTGAGCTAAGAAAATCAAGTGGGGGCTGGACACAGTGGTTCACACCTGTAATCCCAGCACTTTAGGAGGCCGAGGCAAGCGGACTGCCTGAGGTCAGGAGTTTGAGACCAGTCTGGCCAACAGGGTGAAACTCCGTCTCTACTAAAAATACAAAAAAAATTAGCAGGTGTGGTGGCATGCATCTGTTATCCCAGCTACTTGGGAGGCTGAGGCAGGGAAATTGCTTGAACCAGGGAGGTGGAGGTTGCAGTTAGCCCCGAGATCATGCCATTGCATGCTAGCCTGGGCGACAGGGCGAAACTCATCTCAAAAAAAGAAAAAGAAAGAAAATCAAGTGGGTTGTGGGCTGTAGTTGGGTAACTACAGGTTCCAGGGGGCCTCCAGCAGGAGCCTAGCTACCCTGTGGGGTGGGGCTGGGGAAGATAGGACAGAGAAGACTTTCTGGAGCAGAGGGTCCTTAACCTGAAATCTGGAAGATGAGCAGGAGTAACTGCACAGATGATTTACAAAGTACGTGCACATCTAAGTAAATATATCAGTGATAAAATCGTAGGGAATGGCTGCATGCAATGGCTCACACCTATAATCCCAACACTTTGGAAGGCCAAGGTGGAAGGATGGCTTGAGGCCAGGAGTTTGTGACCAGCCTGGGCAACAAAGTGAGACCACATCTCTAAACAAAATTTTTTAAAAACATAGCTGGACATGGTGGTGGAAGTCCCAGTTACTTGAGAGGCTGACATAGAAGAATCAGTTGAGCCCAGGAGTTTGAGACTGTAGTGAGACCATGTTCACACCACTGCACTCCTGTTTGGGCAACAGAGTGAGACTCTGTCTCCCTGCCACGCAGCCAAAAAATAACAGGAAACATGTACAAAGCATTTTCTGTGTGCCAGACACCATGCTGCATGCTTCGCGGGCCTTGTTAATTAATCCTTATTATTTAATCCTATGGCACATGAACTGTTTGATCTGTTTTACCCAATGGAAACTTGAAGCTCAGAGAAGCCAAGTCACTTGCATTGACAGGGTAGAGAGAACCACTTCCCTCAGTTTTACGCAGGGCTACAGAGGCCCAGAGCAGGGCGGTGACTTGATCATGGTCACAGAAAGGTAAGGGCTGAGCTGGGACTAGAATACAGGCTTCCTGACTCCTGGGCTTGTGTTCGTGGTCCAGAGCTGGCTAGAGAGGGGCTGAGGAGAAGGGTGAATTAAACACAGCCAGGCTGAGATGGGTGGGCACTGCCTCCCCAGCTACTACCAGAAAAAGCTGAAGGCGGGCACCTGCAAGGCCCAAGAAATGAAAGCAGCCATACGCCGGCTGCGGTTGCAGAAGATTCCCTACAACCCCCAGCAGGAAGAGAGCTCAGAAGTCCCAGAACGAAAGGTCCTCAGTATCCTGAGCCGGCTGAAGCAGCAGAACTATGGTGAGGGCCCTGGGCAGGGTGGGCTGGGCTGGGGTCGGGGCTCTGCTCTCTTGCCTATCTGGCCTCCTTACTTAACTCTGGGCCCTTAGGCAGCCAGACCCAGGGAGCTGAGAGGCCAGTTTCCATTCCCACTTTGGGCTTAACCGTGTACATCAGAAAACAGGCTGATAATCACTATTTTACATCCAGGCCTATGACAATGGCCTCCTGCATTGGACTGCTCCCCTCCTGACTTAGCCTGAGCTCAGGTTGGTCCCATGAGCCAGGACTGACACAGGAACAGCTGTAGAGATTGGCAATCCCAGCTTGCTGTTTACTGAGTGCCCCACTGTGCTAGGCCCTTTGCTGACGCTCTAGAATTTCATCCTCATAATCATGTATTTCCTCCATTTTACAGATTAGAAAAATGAAACTGATAAAGTCGCTTGCCCAATGCCCCTACCTAGTATATTTTGGAAAGGGGAGTTTATATCCAGGTCTGACCCCAAAATCTATGCTCCTTCCACTGCTTGGCGGGCCTTCCACTGGCTAAGCCTGCCTCCCTTGTCCAGGTACCATTTATTAGACTCCTACTGTGTGCCAAGTAACAGGATAGGAGTTTTGCAGTCTTTCTCGAGTATGCCTACTAGATTTTGCCAGCACCCAGCACAAAGACATCTGCTCCTTATTAAGCTGTTACCAGCCCTTATTCTGTGTGCAGCACTGAGCTGAGTGCTTGCACACATTACTCCTTTAATCCTCATCAACTCTTGAGGTGAGGACCACTATCACCTCCACAGGCACCAGAGAGCTCAGAGACGTTAAGTGACTTGCCCCAAACCACCCAGCTCATTATGTAGCAAAGTCAGCATTTCACCGCAATCTGCCTGCCTCCCAAGGCTGGGCGTGCTCTGAAGCATTCTCCCTTCTGCCTCCTTCTTCACCAGCTCTCAACCTGCAGAGCCCCTATGGCCAGGTGCCCTGCATCCCGCTCTGCCTGCGGTTGGACAAGATGGTCTGTAGGAAGCCGACCACCCACCACGTGCTAGACCAGTGTGTATCCCCTGGCCTGGATCCTGACATCTGTAGCCCCTTCTTCCAGTCAGGATCTCAAGGAAAGAGGTGGGTGCCCAGAGAAAGGGTCCCAGCCCAGGCCCTTCCAGATCCTTCCTTAAGAGGCTCCTAGCCTAATATCTGAGAATCCATCTTTCTAAGAGGTGATACCTGAGGGGCTGCTTGCTCCAGGGAGGAGCAAGAGTGAAAGGCAAAAAAAATAAACCTTTGTTGAGTGCCTGTGTACCCAGCAGAGTGTTCCATTGAAGCCAGAGTGCTTCTGCATGCCTGTGCCTAAGGCTTAGTGGCACCTACTAAGTGCTACAAATTCCCTATGGTTCCATATTGGGACTACCAGGCTGTGCAGCTGGGCAAAGGAACGTCTCCTGCAGCAGTCCCCTTTCAGGTCACTGGGGAAAGGAGCCCTAGACTTGGAATCAGGCCCCTAAGCCCAACTGCTGGCTCCTCCATTTCCATGGGGATGCTCCTCTCTCTCCTCACTTGGGCAGCATGGATGGCTTGTGTACTGGCAGAACTATGGGGAAAAGGCCAATATCTCCCACCCTCTGCCCTCCTCTCCCCAGGGAACACAACTCTGACAGCAGAAAGTGGCTCAGCTCTATGGCAGCTTGAACCCACTGACCCTCTGGAGGCCTGACTCTGGGCAGGTGCTCAAGGCCTGCAGACAGATGGGTCACCTGGACAGCAGCTCCAGGAGCTGCTGCTGGAGTTTGCTTTTGTGGCCTGGCAAGCTAATAAACACCAATAACTTTAGCCTCTGTGCCTGTTGCCAAGGAAGGGCCTCAAGTTGTCAACTCGGCCAGCACTGGGTTCTCAGAGTGCAAGGTTCCACCTCAAAGCCCTGCCCAGGGTTGGGGTTTCTGCTACAGGCGTCCCTGTGTGCGGTCCTGACATTCCGTGCCTTCTCAAAGCACAGGGCTAGGCCTCTCCTCAGATGAGTGCTTCCCCCTCTAGACTCGGAGCTCCACAAAAGTCGGCGTTCTCTCTCTCCACTTGTTCTAAAGACAGGCCCTGTGGAAGAGCAGGAGGTGCCGTCTGCCATGCTCCTCCCGACAGAATCCCAGGACCCAGGGTTCTCCTTCTCTTGGAGCCCCAAGAGGGGTGGGTCCTTTCTCCTCAACCCATATACCACCCGGCCTAGTATTCTACCAAAGACAGTCTCTCCCTGGGACTGAGCAGAGGGTAACCCCCCCAGGGTTAAATAAGCGGCCACAGCAAGAGGTAGAGGGGCAGAGACTGAAATGAGGACAAAGATCTGACAAGTTTAAAACATGTATTTAAAATACAATTTATAAAATGCTGAATCTGCCGACTCAGGAGCCCGCGGTGCAGGGTGGGGTGGGAGTGGGCAGCTGCCTGCTACACCAGCAGAGTAAGACTGCAGGGGTGCAGCCCTCCCTCCCATGCCCTTCTGTTCAGACACCCAAGGGGCCCATGTGCACCCCTGGGATCACACGACCAGAAAACAGGACCCCAGAGGTTTCTTGAGTCTCTGCTTACCAGGGAGGCTGGGTACAGCTCTGCCAGCCCATCCCTGAGCAGGGCACCCCCAGATGGGGCAGAGCAGGGTATGGCTGGGCTGGGCAGGGCAGGGCTGGGTGGGGCAGGTGGGCTCTGGAAGGGGCTGATGGTAGCAGATAGGGTGTTGCCTCCTGCCTGCAGGTGGGGAGCACCCTGATTGAGTGGGCTGAGAAAGGCTGGTCACCAGGCCTGGACCCCCCAGCTCCTTTGGTTATAGGCTGACATCAGAGTAGTGGCTCATGGGAAGCGGTTAGCTGGAAGGTCTGAGGCCTGGCCCATAGGGTCAGGAAGGAACTGGGGGACCGGGACAGTACCGTGAAGGCAGATAAAGGGGCAGCAGCCTCAGGTTTCTGCCCCCCATCCCCCTGGGGTTTTCCAAGCCAAAGCCTGCAACTTACTTTAAAAAAGAAAAGGAAAAAAAGCACTTAGGAAAGTTATAGACAACTACCCCAAAAAAATACCCTCCCACACACAAAATCCAAACCGTTTCCTCATCTCCCTTCCCGCCTCCCCCAACACAATACAGTTTCCTGTTTTCTTTCTTTTTAAAAACGTTGCCTGCCACCTCTCCATTTGGGAAGCCCAGGGCATCACTGCTGGTGGGTGGTTGACAGGCACACAGCGGGCTAAGCCCATCTTTGGCCAGAGGGAGGTGGGAGGACCAGTCCCTGCCACATCCTCAATCCACAGACACCCACCAGCCACCCTTTACTTTGGCCCCCACTAGAGAGTAGTGGGGCAAGAACAGGTGGTCCCAATGGCTGGGCAACCGGCACTTCCAGCCTTCCCACCTGGACTACCTCTATACCCTTGTCCAATTGAAAGGACAGTCTCACTTTGGTGGGAAACCACTATTAGATGAAGGATGGACACTATACATTTAGAATGGGGACACTTGGTTAGGGCAGTGGAATACAAAGATAGCAGCCAATCTTCTTCCTTGCCTTCTCCTGAAGGTAACCCCACTCTTACTGACTGAAGCTCTGGTTCCAGCTCTGCTCACAGGGAATAGCTGGCTTCACACAGGCAGAAGGCTGTGCTGTGGACTAGCTGCTAACTCAGCTGGCAGGTGGCCCTTCCTCGGAGGTGAGGACATGGTGCGGCATGGCTTTCTGGGCCTGGCCTACCATTCCCACCGGGAACCAACGGTGGAGTGAGCCTGTGAGACTCCGCTTGCCACCTTGGCCACCACATGCTGCCCTAATCACAAAACCACACCAACCACTCTGAAACGTATCTGCTGGTCAGGAGTGGGGAGGCCGTCTGGCTGGCTGAGGGATAAGGCGCAGTGCAACGGAAAAGATCAGAAAGCCTGAGAGGAGCCAGGTCCACACAGAGCCACTCTGGGCAGCTGCCCTCTTAGCCTCTTCCACCTCAAGGAGCCAAAGCAAACCCTTGGCTCCAAGGACAGAGGAGAAACTGCCTTCATTCCAGGCCCTCACTCTGGAAAAAGGGGTGATGGGTAGCCTAGGCCTCTGAGAAAACAGTCTGTCATCAATCTTTGCAAAGCAAAGCTGTTCTTTTTCCAACTTTATTCAGAATGTTCTGCCTTCAAGGTACTGACTGCACACAGGAAATGTACCAGGGATAGTGACTGAGCTGCGGCCAGCAATGGAGATGGAGCACCGCAGACCCTTAAGAGTTCAAGCCATGCTGGAGTGGGAAGACCTATCCACCTTCTGACCGTACGAGGTAGAAGGCTTAGGGTCCCGGAGCCAGACTCTCTCCTGGTTTTCCTTGTGCTGATGGCAAAATACTAAACAAGTCTACTCTCCTTCACTGCTAAGCCCAGGGATGCCGTCTCACTCCCTGGCACTCTGCTCTTTTCTAGAAGCAGTAAGCCTGGCTGGTAGGGAACCACCCTGAGGGATATGGGAAGGGGAAGTCTGTTCACTTGCCCTATCTCCCAAAATAGTAGAGGTGGGGTTGGCACCCTCCCCAGGCTCTCTGAGCCTACAGAGCTAGCCCAGTCTCCAGGCAAGGCCCAGATGCCCTGGGACTTAGCTCGGGGAGGGAGGTATAGGCATGGGGTGCTCATCTGTCCTGGGGGCTGCAGAGCCCTGCCCCTTTTCTGGGCGGCAGTAGGAATACAGAAGCTAAGCTCACCAAAATCCTATTGGTTAATGTTTCTAGTGCATTTTCCAGAAACATTTTTAAGTAGACTACCAAACTACCCTTTCTCAGTTAAAAATTCATTAAACCACTAAAACCCCTCCCATGCACTTTTTCTTGCAAATCAGATATTTGTATAAACAAATAAAAATAGGAAGAAAAAAAAGAAAAGTTATTTTCAAATGGAACTTACTTTCTAAGTGATGAAGACATGCACTTGGGGGTAGGTGGGTGTGAGTTCTCATTTGTGTTTTGAAATCCCAAATTAATGAGCATGATAAACTGTTATTGCTGGCACTGGCTTTACCCCAAGTGGCCAAGTGGCACTGTCTGACTCTACTCTGAGTCCTTGGTGGGTCCCCCCAACTTCCCCTAACCCCCACCCTTTCCCTTTCCATTGACTTGGGACAGCCCTTGTCGACGTGCCAATCACAGTGGGAAGGGGGAGAAGGAGGGAGGTCACAGTGCATAGGGTTCAAGGTCACAGTGGGCGGAGCAAGGGGGATCACAGTGCAAGTAAGTCAGGTCGTTCCCTCTGCTCAGGTCCAGCTGTCTGCCACGGCAGTGAAACCCGTGGCAGACGACCCAGGAGGCGGTGATGGCAGCGATGGTGGCATCTTTTCTTGCCTGCATTTATCTGCGCTGTTTGAAGCCTTGTGACCCATCAGGACCCAAAGGCTGTCTGATCACATTATTGGGCTGCCTGCTGTCTTCGGGTTGGGAGATCCTGGTTGGCCTGAAGGGAAGAAGAACAGAGGAAGGCCTGAAGGAGGATATAATAGATGTCCCCAATCATTTTTTTATTTTTTATTTATTTTTGAGACAGAGTCTCATGCCATCGCCTAGGCTGTAATGCAGTGGCGCAATCTCTGCTCACTGCAACCTCCACCTCCTGAGTTCAAGTGATCCTCCTACCTCAGCCTACCAAGCAGCTGGGACTACAGACATGTGCCACCACACATAGCTAATTTTGTAATTTTAGCAGAGATGGGGTTTCACCATGTTGGCCAGTCTGGCTTGAACTCCTGACCTCAAGTGATCCACCTGCCTTGGCCTCCCAAGGCAGGTGCTGGGATTACAGGTGTGAGCCACTGGACCTGGCCTAGATGGCCCCCATCTTTTTTTTTTTTTTTTTTTTTTTTTGAGACGGAGTTTCGCTCTTGTTACCCAGGCTGGAGTGCAATGGCGCCATCTCGGCTCACCGCAACCTCCGCCTCCTGGGTTCAGGCAATTCTCCTGCCTCAGTCTCCTGAGTAGCTGGGATTACAGGCATGCGCCACCATGCCCAGCTAATTTTTTGTATCTTTAGTAGAGACGGGGTTTCACCGTGTTGACCAGGATGGTCTCGATATCTTGTCCTTGTTATCCACCCACATTGGGCTCCCAAAGTGCTGGGATTACAGGCTTGAGCTACCGCGCCCTGTCGGCCCCCATCTTAAAAATCAACTGTCCTTGTAGCTGGGGCCCAAGTCACTCTGGGTCCACAAGCCTGCTTCTTTGGGAAGCAGACTCAGGGCACCTCCAAGCTGAGAGGTCCCTGTGGGCAGGCAGGGCCGGTGGTACACGTTCACCTCTAGCAGCTACAGCACACAGGGGGAGTGCTCAAGGGCTCATTCTGCCCAGAGGCAGTGACCATGGACAGCACATGCTCTGCAGAACCATTTGGAATCTCCAGAGTGTCAGGCCAAGGTAAAGAGCTGGAATCAAGAGCTCAGCAAAGGGACACATCTCCCTGCCCCCCAATTCTTCCCTCCCACTCCTCTCCAAACTATGCAGTTAATGGTTGACTTGTATTACTATAGAAAACTAAAGGTTGTGTGATGTGTCACTATAAAAAAAAAAAAAAAAGGAAAAGAAAAAAAGAAAGAAAATAAAAGAAAACTAAAGGAAGCACACATTTTCCACTCTGGAAAGGTGAAGACTTAGAGGAGAAACAACAAAGAGAACAGGTATCTCTTCAAAATTATGAAGAGAAAGAAAGAAGGTACGCAAATTAGTTCTTCAAGTCCTAGAATACCAAGCCATGGCAGCCCCTCAGTTAGAAAGAGGCCGTCTTAACAAATACTGTTTTATTAGGAAGTGACAAATTTACATAATGCAACCTCTAATACTGCAGAG